TACCTCTAGGACATTAATCGTAACGATAATAATTAATTTGTCGATTTAGAGCTCTAGAACCTTAGTAAACCTACTAACTTCGACGCTCTTTATAGACTAAATCTAAACTCCGGTATTCGTAACGAAGACCCCGACAATATTAGTAATCGTAAAGTAGATAGAGCCGCCTACTAGGAGCTACGCATTAGCAAGTACCTAAACAACTATCTAGATATCTACGATACTTCTTAGGACTAGTACTAGGCTTAGAAAGAGGCATATAGTGCTGTTAAAATAGAGGTCTAATCCTAATCTACCCGCTAGTTCGACAAGCTTAATCTACACTAGCGATAAGGCTTTAACCTAGTCGTTAACCACTTTAATTAGCTACTATAATACCGATCTAGGACGAGTAATTAGCCCCTACTATAGCTACTCGTTAACGTTAATAGCGCCGGCGGAACTAGAAAGTCGTTCTTAATTTAAATGCTCTATACTCGATTATAAAGTATAGCTAAGGACTCTAGATATCCTAGAGGAAATCCTATACTTCGGACCGCTCCTACTAGTACAGCCGCAAGCAATATCGACGGTTCTACTCTATACTCTATATTTAAGCTACCTATTAAAGGCGGGCTAACCGACCTCTAAGGTGTTTACCTAACGCGTATATAGAATGCGTTGCGGAACGTTTAGTACCTTATTATTAATAAAAAGTCTATAATTGGATTGAAGCTGCTCTAGATGCTTAATTAACGCCTCCGTTAATACTTCTCGGTTAACTAGGACTTACCGTTCGGTAGTCTTAGCGTAATTATCTTCGGTAATTTCTGCTAACTAGCACCGGTATTCGTATAACCTTTATTCTAATCTCGGCCTCGAGGAGCTAAGAACATCGCTAGTTAAGCTATATACTATACCTTTAGTACTACCTTAGTCTTAAAAGCTAATATAAGATAAGAAGGCGCCGATCCGGATTAAGTCGCTTTCCGCGATGCTCTTATAGCTCTCCGGACCGGCGATGTTAGCGTTAATTACTAGTAGACTCTTATACGACGCTCGACTAGCCTCTTAGATATTAATAAAATATTATTATTCGATAATACGATACGTATCTACTTTACTAACGCTAATGTTAACGAGCTTAATTATTAGCGCCTCCGAGATATTAGCAATCCTATTTTACCGATCTCTACTTCTTATAATCGGCTAGATATTTCTATAGTTAGCTCTAAGAACGTCTATAACCTCGAGAATTAACTAAAGGTCTCTATTAGCTCTAGGGTTATGCTCCTTACTAACCTTTAGACAGAGTTTAGCCTTATAAATAGTCGCTAAGGTATTCTCTACGATATCGTCTAGTCTTAAGATATAGCTAGTAAGAACCTCCGCTAAGAGCTACCTCGTTGTCTCCTTGTCGCTTTCTCTAGCTTAAAGGAAGACGCACCTAAACTATTCCGAGTTAGTAATCGAAAGGTTCTTCCAATCTTCCGTATCTATCGTACGGTAGACGGTATAGAAAGCGATTAGCGCGAATAGTTCCTTCTAACTGTCTCCTACGCTTTAACTGTATACAAGGCTTAGGGTATAACATTAGACCGCGCTATCGTTAAGCTAGGTCCGGAGTTCTCGTCTAGTTTAACGTATATTGCCTTCTTACGGGTTAAAGAGTTCCGCGGATTGATAATTAAGGGCGCCTTCGACTACGACCGCCTCTAAAACGAGCTTACTAAAGGCGCTATTCCTCGTATGCGAGCAGTAGACGAACTACGACGCTGTAATTAGTGCTTATCTAACCCTCCTACGTCGCTATAGCCTAGCTCCCGGTTCTTTAACTTTAGTAGCTTTTCGGATGCCCTCTTAAACAGTCTTAGTCTCGGCAATAGCTAGGACTACGACTCCGGACTACCTATTAGTATTATAAATTCCGATAACGAGATAGAGGGATTTGAATTAGTATCTAGCTATATGTATCTACCGTCTAACGTTAGCCCTACGTCCTTACCTCGTCTAAGATTAAACTATATCTACCGTTACTATTAAGAGGCTCTCGATAACCGCCGCTTTGTGTCTAATCTATAGGATACTAAGCAACGCCTATAGCGACAGTTTAATACTATTAATTAGCTACTCGCGCCTACGGAAGAGCCTATACCTATATCTACGGCTTTAGATAGATACCGAGAACTTAACGACGCCGAGCTAGCAAGCCTTGCTTATCGTTACGTAAAGATTGAACTCGCACTTCTTAGTACGAATCTTAATAGCCGCTTAAAGGAGGTTATCGACCTTGCTATCTCCTTCTACTATTAACTTTATCGTTCTAGTATCTTTAGGACGGACGAGGAAGCAGAATCGACTTTCTAGCAGGTCTTTAGAGTAGAGGCACTTTATCTATCTAAGTGTAACGCTACTATTAATCGCAAGGCCTATATAGAGTTTATATAGCAATACTCCGGCGACTATCTAATATATCTTATTACCGACCTTACTATCGAGTTTAGCAAAGAAGCGGTGCGTAACGATAACTATCTAGATGTTAACCCGAATGTCTAGTTCCCTTTTAAGAAGCAAGGTATACTTCCCCTATTATTTAGCTCCTATAAAGCTATAGCTCTATATCCTAAGGAGGGTAATAAGGACTATAACCTTGTATAGTATATAGCCGAGTATATCGATAAGGTCGTACGCCTTAATGCCTACCTACTTCTAGGCCGCTAATTCATTTCCCCTATGTTTAAAGACTAAGAATTAGTATAGTACGCCGAGGCTATCTATAGTATAGAGTTTGCTATCGACATGTTCCATATAGCTATTAAGGTAATCTAAGCCTTCGACTTTCTAACTGTATCTAGCAACAAGCTTATCTCTTAGGACTAGTAGGATACTTATAAGAGCTAAGATACTAGACAGTAGTACTAGTCTAATACGTATACGCTGCTTTCGCATCTCGCCTAGCTTGGCTTTAAGGCTAGTTCTACCGGCCCTGTCTCTACTATATACTTTTCCGCTTTATATTTCATCGCCGGCTAAGTTAATCTAGTAACTAGTATTATATAGACACAGAATACATAGGGCGGCCTTAATAGGAAGCGTAGAGTCGGTCCTCTTAGTAGCCGGTTTATTACTACGCTTGCTAATCTCCTATCTTGCTTTCCGTACGCCTAGAACGCTCGATAGCCGAAACCGGGGACCTAGACCTATATCGAGACTACTAATAATGCAGTTATATAGCAGCCTAATCCTTACAGTTGTAGCCCTCTAATTATAGAGTATATTATCTACTATCTCGTAGGCTAATAGATCGTTCCCTATACTAAGCATCTTTATCGGTATTACTAGGGTCTTCGACGTCGATACCTCTAGGTTATATTCGACGAGATCGATAACGAGGCACATGTTCCCTCTTAGCCTATCTATACCCGACAACTCCTAGAACCTAAGGTATTTACAGCCGCCTTCTACTAAGCCCTTCGCGATAGGCACGCTATAATCGAGGCTAAGCGACATATAATCTACGAGGCGTAGTAGCGCGAGTAAGAAGCTCTACTCGACTATAAACGCTAGGAAGCCCTTACCGCCTTCTAACTTTAGTATACGGCTAATATACAAGCAGGTCTAGCAGGTCTACTAGCTGTATAGGCTTTATTCGACCTAGCTGCTCTAATAGGTTCGTAGGTTTCCTAGACAGCGATAAAGTTTAGGATTTTAGTAGTAATAAATGATTTCTTAGGTAGAACACTAGATAGCGAAGAATTAGTTTAAATATTGAAGATTGAGACTTCTATATATACTAGCTACTATAGAGCTATAAGCATAGATTGCGATTATAAGCGGCTTGCCGCTTATAATCGTAATCGCTTATAGCGATTATACAGTTAGTACGACGTTTGTTAACACGCCCGTTTAGCCTAAGTTGCTCTGTAGATACTAATAGCTTGCCTTCTCGATTAATAAAGTCTTTACAAAAGTGATTAATACGCTAACGACGGCGCTATCCTATTAGCTCGGCGGAGTGCGAAAGCTTCGCTCGTATATTATAGGTACGCGCAGCCGCCTACAAGTACATTTTATAAGATATAGAGACTGTTTATAGATAATATCTATAATACATTATCTTTACTCTATAAACTTTTACTATACTAAGTTTCAAGTTTATACTAGCTTTATCTATAAAGTTATAGCATTGCGAAGTTAGCGAGTTAACTAGGGAAACAGCGTGCGCTAAGGCTAACCGTACGTTATAGCTAGAAGACTTCTAGCTAGGGCTATTTTACGAATAGTCGCGCCCCTATATATAATATATTCTACCTTCTACCTTCTACCTTCTAACTATTCTATATCGGACTACTACGCGACTAGAAACCCTCCTTACGCCTAAATAGTAAGAGGCTAAAATAGAGATAGGACTAAGGACGCCTTGTTTAACTAAATTATACCCTAGACTCTAAACCGAGCCCTAGCTAGCCGACCGAGCCCTAGTATAACCCGAACTTTTAATTTAGGATTTTAGTATAAAATAGCTTTACTCTATATAACGCTTCGAATAATACTCCTCTCTGTCTATTAAAGTAAGGAGCGACGTACCGGCGTAGGAGGCTTGCCCTCCGAAGCGTCGCCGGCACTCGAGCGGGCCGTAGGGCCAACGTTGCTGTCCTCGCTATTAGCGAGGTTTTGAAGGTCTTTAACGTATATCGATGAGACATTGATTGGTCGCTAGGGCTCGGTCGGCCAGCTGGGGCTCGGTTTAGCATCGAGGAAATTATGCCAACAAAAGTGGCCAGTCTGATCAAGTACGGAACAGGGCCACACCTGGCGCAACACCAACGGACGGTGACACTGGAACTATCTTCGTCGCAAGTCCGTGAGATTTTGGCAGGTGTCCGTATTTTGGCCTTCCGCTTCGCTGGAATAAATAGTATAAGCATTGCCAGCGAGATGCATCGAATCGTGGTCTTTGAAGGCTTTCAATCAAGACCTCTGCGGACGAAATCTCGTGCACTATCAACGTCTTGCCTTCAATGTCCAGCTATCGACTGGCTCTGAGCCTTATTGCTACAAGCACGCTTGCTGCTGCGGGACCTTGCGACATCTACGCTTCAGGAAACACTCCGTGTGTAGCGGCCCACAGCACGACAAGAGCTCTCTACAACTCTTTTAATGGCGCACTCTACCAGGTCCAACGTGGCTCCGACAAGAAGACTACAGACATCACCCCTCTTTCCCCCGGTGGTGTTGCCAACGCTGCGGCCCAGGATGAATTCTGTGCTAGCACGACCTGTGTGATCACTGTCATCTATGATCAGTCTGGTCGAAATAATCACCTCACACAAGCACCACCAGGCGGAGCTGCTAACGGGACGGAAGCAAACCGCTACGATCAACTTGCCAGCGCCATTGGCGCTCCAGTGACGCTGAATGGACAGAAGGCTTATGGAGTCTTCGTCTCGCCAGGTGTTGGCTACCGCATTGATGCCACTCAGGGAGTAGCCACAGGTGATGCTGCTCAGGGCATTTATGCCATCTTTGACGGGACTCACTGTATGTGCATACCAAGGTCTCCGGGACAGAAACACGTCATACTGACCTTTGCTCTAGACAACGATCGCTGCTGCTTCGACTACGGCAACGCAGAGAAGAGTAATAAAGATACAGGAAGGGGTCACATGGAGGCAATTTACTTTGGCACGTGCACTATCTGGGGCAAAGGTGCTGGAGCAGGACCTTGGATCATGGCTGATCTCGAGGATGGACTCTTTTCGGGCGTCTCGCCTGCTGAAAACATAGGAGATCCAATTTTGACCTACCAGTTTCTCACCGCTATCGTCAAGGGAGAGCCAAAGCATTGGGCTATTCGCGGTGGCAATGCTGCTTCAGGCTCTCTCTCAACGTATTACAACGGACCTCGACCGAGTGTGGGTGGCTACAGGCCCATGTCAAAAGAGGGATCTATAGTTCTCGGGGTCGGAGGCGACAACTCCAACGGCGCACAGGGAACCTTCTACGAGGGGGCCATGACATCCGGATTCCCATCTGATGCTACAGAGAACTCAGTGCAATCCAACATAGTCGCTGCAAAATACGCTGCCGGATCGGCCAACAGCGGACCTGGCATCAACGTCGGCTCCACCGTGACTCTCCGCGCAACCACTCCCGGCTCCAACACTCGCTACCTCGCACATCAAGGCTCCGCGGTCAATGTGCAGATCATCACTTCTTCCTCCCCAAACCAGGGTGCCGCGCAGTGGATCGTCCGAGCTGGTCTGGGCAACAGTGCGTGTCTCTCTTTTGAGAGCAAGGACACCCCGGGCTCTTTCATCAGAGGCGTCGCATTCGGTCTGGCACTTGCCACGCCCGACGGATCGAAACAGGTGCGCGAGGACGCGACATTCTGCTACCAGGCTGGATTGAATGGTCAAGGAAACTCTTTCAGGGCTTGGAACTACCCCACACGATTCATCAGACACTACAACGATGTTGGACACCTCGCGAGGAATGGCGGACCGGAAGACTTTGATAACCCCAGCAATTTCAACAATGATGTGAGCTGGGTTGTTGGAAGTGGGTTTCCAGAAGCAGCTAGGCATTTTCGTGGCGGCGCAGAGTAGCACACGATATCATGATGCCTTCCGCGGTGAGTAGTACATGTTGTATGTCTTGGCGTCGTGGCCATATCTTTCACGCTGGCCCGGACCGGGAGACCACATATTCTCGCAATGATATCGTATTATCCTACACGCAATGAGATGAGATTTGTTAGGTGCCGGTGCCGGTGCCGGTGCCGTAGTTGGTGTCGTGGCTGTTGGTGTTCCAGGTGCCAGGTGCCAGTGCAGCTTCAAGGGGGTTCGTGTCGCGCGTGGAAGGCGTGGGAGACTGGTTAAGAACTTTGTTACCCTTCCGTAGCTTCCGTCCCTGCCGCCACCTCTTCGAGGTGGTTACAAGCTACCTTATAATTTCCACTTTCCCGACAAGTTACACTACAATATTACTATATAGCTACTATATCTACTATTTCGCTTTCCTAGTCGCTTCTAGGTATATCTATTAAATTTCTAATAATACCTCGAGTCCGTAATATCGCTAGTACGCGTATACGTCGCCCTATCGCGAAAATAACGCCCTATACGTACGAAGAGAACTAGATTTAGGCGGTTTTAGATAAGATAATATTCTACTACTATAGTAGGGAAATCTAGCTTAGTATAGGTATATACTTTACTTTCTTTTATACTATACGATATATATAGTAGTATATATACGGCTATAGATAATAATATAGCGGTAGATATATACGAGAATAATACCCTATCCCGCTCGAATATAGCCTTCGTTACTTATCTTCTTTTCTTATAAATACTTCTAATACCGCCCTTTAAAGGTATATAGTACTACGTAGACCCCTCGTAGTTATCTAAGATATACTAGATATAAGGCATATAATACTTGCTCCCTATATATATCTCTCTACCTATAACCTACTAGTCCCTCCTATATTTTCTAGGGCCGAAAGGAGGGCTATTTTTATTTATTTAAAGGTATAAGTATATATATAGTAACGAAGAAACGATTATACTCCTCGCCTAGAGCGAAAGCTAGGCTACTAATATAACAGTACTACTAAAGAGACCTTAGTAGTATTAAGACGTCGTACTATTATTAAAATATTACTAATATAGAGTAAAAAGAATACTATTACTAATAAAGATAAAGCTAACTATTTACGACACATATACTACTACAAATCCCTATCTATCTATAGCAGGCGGGACCTTATAAGAAACGACCTATACCGAAGGGAACTTAAGGTTCCCTCTATAAGAAACTAAAAATAGGGCTATAAAGAACCCCGGAAAATTAATACTACTCTCTATTTTATAGCTAGTAAAGGCAAACCGGATTTTAACTTTTACTACGGGTTTCGTAGGCTCGTAGCGCTCTAGCCTCTTCTAAAAAACTACGGGCCTTATACTACGACTTAGCTAATATTCGTAGTAAGGAACTAAGGAACCGTAAAATTAGGGTAGTCGGTATATTAGCTAGTTAGCTAGGGTACCTTCGATTCTCTATTTCCCTTATCTATAGGCTAATACCTAGCTTTTTCTTTAGGGGCTAAACGCTATATATGCTATAATATATATACGTTTTATATATAAGATACCTACTAATATATCTAATTTTATCGATACTATATCCCTTTTATTTATTCCTATTATCTATCTTATATAACTATTATATAGGATTGCTAAGGCAGGATAGGAGACTTTACTTACTTAGATTCTTAGAGGTTACTAGAGCTAAGAAGATTATCGTTTCTATCTATAACGTACTTACCTATAGCGGTAAGCCTAGTAGTAATATTAATTCGGATACTAAAGCAGAAGGTCTACTTAAATACTTATATAGGCCTATAGTATAGATATATAGGAAGGCTAAGTATAGGAAGTAGCAAGTATAGCTTGCTATAAGGTAGGAGGCTAAAAGGCGTTTATAGAAGTAGTTTAACCGAGATAATAGTATACTAAATAGTAGCGATTATAGTAGTAGAATTAAATTCAATTAATAGTAACGATAAGCTACTATCTATTAGATAGTATATATAGCTAGCTATACTATTGCGTAGTCTGTCTAATAAGTACGAGTTACCTATTCGATCGTTACTACTACTACCGGTTTTCTTACTATTACCTAGAAATAGTAAGTAAATATAGTAGTATAGTAGACTTGTAATACTACCTAATAGTCTATACTATATATAGAGAGCTTTAATATATTCTATAAGTCCTATTTGCTTAGTCTAGTACTAGTCTACTAGTATTATAATATAGCTTATCGAGAAGATAGAAATTATAAGGTAGCCTATAACTATCCGAGGGGTAGATAGTAGGAACGAGAGCTACGGATAGTTCTAATATCTTACTATCTATCCTAGGCCGCAAAGTACGAGAAATACTAGTTAGGATAGAGTCGTCGTCGCTCTTCGTAGTATACTAACTAGTAAAAGTATCGCTAAGATATATATAAAAAGTTAGGAAGCGCCTATAGCCTACTAGGTATATAGCGGTAGTTTAGATCGAGACGTTTATCTTAGTCGTTCTATTTCTAGTAATAGTAGATACGCTTATACTACTAATAGCTTAGTATAGTAATACTAGACTACTATCCGCGCCGCTAGCGCGGACGTACGCCTACCGACGGAATTAAATTAGTAGTAAGGCGTATAGAATAAATAGAAGTATTAAACGTATTCTTAGTAAGACTCGCTATAAGCGTTCTAGATAGTACTCGCTAATAGCTATTAGCGTTCTAGATAAGAATTACTATAAACGTTTTAGATAAGACTTAGTATAGGCGTTCCGAATAAGATTCGCTATAAGTATTCCGACTAAGATTCGCTATAAGCGTCCTAAATAAGACTCGCTATAGGCGTTCTAGATAAAACTCGCTATTAGCGTATTAGATCAGAAGTACTATAGGCGTTCTAGATAATACTCGCTATAGGCGTTCTAAATAAGACTCGCTATAAGCGTTCTAGATAAGATTCGCTATTAGCGTATTAACTAAGATTCGCTATAAGCGTCCTAGATAAGACTCGCTATAAGCGTTTCGGATAGGACTCGCTATAGGCGTTCCGGATAAGTCTCGCTATAAACGTTCCGGATAAGACTTACTATAGGCGTTCTAGATAAGATTCGCTATTAGTATATTAACTAAGATTCGCTATAAGCGTTCTAGATAGGACTCGCTATAAGCGTTTTAGATAGGGCTCGCTATAGGCGTTCCGGATAATACTCGCTATTAGTATATTAACTAAGATTCGCTATAAGCGTCCCGGATATAACTCGCTATAAGCGTTTTAGATAGAACTCGCTATAGGCGTTCCGGATAGTACTCGCTATTAGGCTATTAGCGTATCGGATAAGACTCGCTATAAGCGTTCCGGATAGGACTCGCTATAAGCGTTCCGTATAGGACTCGCTATAGGCGTTCTAGATAAGATTCGCTATAGGCGTTCCGAATAAGTCTCGCTATAAGCGTTTTAGATAAGACTTATTATAGGCGTTTCGGATAAGATAGTATTAAGACTCGCTATAAGCGTTCCGAATAAGTCTCGCTATAAGCGTTTCGGATAAGATTCGCTATTAGCGTATTAACTAAGATTCGCTATAAGCGTTATAGTTAGGACTCGCTATAGGCGTTCCGGATAGTACTCGCTATTAGCGTATTAGATAGGGCTCGCTATTAGCGTATCGGATAGTACTCGCTATAGGCGTTCTAGATAAGTCTCGCTATAAACGTTCTAGATAGGACTCGCTATTAGCGTATTAGATTAGAATTACTATAGGCGGTCCGGATAAGATTCGCTATAGGCGTTCCGAATAAGTCTCGCTATAAGTGTTTCGGATAAGACTCGCTATAGGCGTTCCGAATAGTACTCGCTATTAGCGTATTAGATAAGAATTACTATAGGCGTTCTAGATAAGATTCGCTTTAGGCGTTCCGGATAAGATTCGCTATTAGCGTATTAGCTAAGATTCGCTATAAGCGTTCTAGATAGGACTCGCTATAAGCGTCTTAGATAGGACTCGCTATAGGCGTTCCGGATAGTACTCGCTATAAGTATATAAACTAAGATTCGCTATAAGCGTTCTAGATAAGACTTATTATAGGCGTTTCGGATAGTACTCGCTATTAGCGTTTCGGATAAGATTCGCGATAGGCGTTTCAGATAGTACTCGCTATTAGCGTATTAGATTACAATTACTATAGGCGGTCCGAATAAGTCTCGCTATAAGCGTTTCGGATAGGATTTGCGATAGGCGTTTCGGATATAGGCGTTCCGGATATAGGCGTTCCGGATATAGGCGTTCCGGATGTAGGCGTTCCGGATATAGGCGTTTCGGATATAGGCGTTCCGGATATAGGCGTTCCGGATAGTACTCGCTATTAGCGTATTAGATTAGAATTACTATAGGCGGTCCGAATAGGTCTCGCTATAAGCGTTTCGGATAGGATTCGCGATAGGCGTTCTAGATAGTACTCGCTATTAGCGTATTAGATTAGAATTACTATAGGCGGTCCGAATAGGTCTCTATAAGAAAATAGGTATATAGCAACGTATAGAACACCCTCTACTAATCGCCGTAGTAGAAAGTAGAACTAAACCGTGCCTTTCTAAGAATAGGGCAGAGCGTTTACTATTAACTAGGCTACGTACGGATAGTATATCTACCGTACCGGCTACCGAGTATATCCGTACGAGCGACCGAGCTTTCCCGCGTATACGCTAAGTAGGCTTTGCGCTAGCGGGACAGTACCGCAGTATACGTAATAACATTACATAATTGTTATATAGGCTTACTAAGGCAGGATAGAAGACTTTACTTGCTTAGGTTCTTATAATTATCTCCTTCCTCCGGTATAGCTATCCTAGCTATAGGGCAATATAGTAAATTATACTATTTCTTATACTCTGCGCTATATATACGCGTCTTATACGTACCTATCGCTAGGCTATAGTTGCTAGGTACGTTATAATTTGCCTCGTAGTTGCTTGTTTATTTACAGATTTAAAGCGCGGCTACTTCTAGTACTAACTAGAAGTTGCTTA